TATATATATATATATATATAACTTGTAAACAGTACGGATTTTGCGAAATTATAAAATCAAGTTATTTTCAATATAAACACAATGATGCTGCCTCATTTCGGGAAAGTTCACACTTTCCTCCTTGAACATCTGATATTTTTTTCTTTATTTTAATAACGAGAAACTATACGTTAGACCTTACACGCATCATACAATGTAGAAAACACAAATTTATTTTTTGAAGCATTGATAAGAAAATTACACTTAATTATATGTAAAAGATATGTAATATATGTAAAAATATACTTGAACATAAAAAAGATATTGATCAGTTGAAACGCATTAACATAATAAAACATCTTTATAATTGTAAAACTGGTCCGACCAAACCTGTAGGCACTTCGTTTTACTTCTTGACATATTGAATATTTAAAGCACAGAAACAAAGAGAAGGAGGAAGTATAGCAAAAAGAAAATATAATATACATTGTGTGGGTAAAAATTAATCCGCAAATAACACATTAAGCTTTAAAACAGCTGCAATTACGTTCCTAAGTAACACATACACATTTCAGAAACGTTTCATAACCGATATCTCGAATATAAGTCATAGTATTTAATTTATTAGTAAACAAAACATTTAACATAAATAGATACTAAATATAGATAACAAGTTAAAGATAAAGATATATATGTAAAGATATATAAATACAGGTAAATACCTTATTAGTGATGTAAAAAATGTTCCTAATTAAAAAACATGATGCTTTATTGCGCCGCACTCAGAATATACAAATTTCGTTCTTTAAGCGTCGTGCGTTTTTTATTGTAACAGCCATTATTAATCCTATATTATTTATCCTTTATATTCGGAGCCATCTCGAAAGTCGTCTACCAGCAACTCGGCGGCATCTGCTTAGGAAGGCGCGCGGACGGGAATCGTGTCATATTAAATAGTTTATCTTCAAAATCAAATAATTTATTCTCATGCCGCTTGGTTTATATGAATCATTAGATATTAAGGAACACATTTCTGATAAAAAAATACAAATTTTATGTTTTACAATTTTCTAATGTGTGGTAACGTGTAAAACAGCCACCGATGTGCATCGCGGGTTCGTTGGTGCACGTTGAACAAAAGTAATTTGTTTGTCGTCTTCCACCCGGTATTTGTCTGTGTGAGCAGACAATGCAGTCCCGTTTTCTTCCTCCAACATTTAAAATGTGCAGCTTGTTGTTTAGCCGCTGTGAATGCACTACAAACGTTCCGCTTCGACGTAATGCCGACTGACATTTTTCCCATATATCTCAGTATATATACCATATTTTGATTTGTTTTCTTGTGCCATTTCAATAGAAAACTTTAAAGAAACATGCAGTTTTCAAAAAATGGCCGCGGCATAAGCTCATTCTCTGTAATCACTAATAAACTCTGATGTCCCCTGAGAGGAGACGTCCGAGTAGTTCGCTAAACTTGCGATGTCCCCTCAGAGGGTACATCCAAGTGTAAAGGGTTAAAGAAATAAGCTTCAAAACACACATTTTTTATTGTAACAGCTATTATTAAAGAGATAAACACAACAAGACAAGCACTACAAAAGATAAACAGTAGGCGCTATCTGTGGAAATTGGCCGAAAAGTGAAGGTTTCCTCTACTACTATATATATGAATCGATGCGGCACATACATGAATCAGTTCATATGTGGATAAAAACACGCGTATCCTACGAACAAATGTTCAATCAGTGCGATCGGTCCAAAATGAACTGAACGCAAGTTGAATGAAATTTTGTGAATTTCGCACTGATTAGTCAAATTTCAAGGGCGATTGATTCTCGAATCATTCATAACTATTCGTACATAACTTGCGAATGATATCCAATGAACGTACTGCTTTTACAGAATAGCTGTTCGCTCATTGGACATCATCTGTAAATTACGCGTGCGAATAGTTACGAATGATTCGAGAATCGAACCTCAGGTATCCTTACGTCCGTCGTATTACGTAGACATTCGATCGTGACGTACAATTCATGAGTTCTTACGTGTGCGCCCATTGGCCCTGCGTATGGCGCTGCGGTCGAGCTGCCCGTGTGCTATTGGCTAGTCCGCCTCATACCCGCCATCACACTCGACGATTCGACGTCTGTCGGCCAATCGGAAAGGAGCCACCGGCTGCTAACCTCTTTCTGATTGGTCAAGAAACTCAGACGCGAGCCGCTAGTTGTGATACGGGCGCAGAAGTGACTTCTCGCGGCTACGCTGCTCTATGTTATCCCATCACGTTCGCGTATCACTCCGTGTGCGTCGAGTGCGTTGGCTTCGTGCGTGAAGTAAAAGAGCTCGGAGGAAAGCTGAACGTGCACGAGACGAACGTCCATCACAGCGGGCCAGGATGCAGGAGTCTCAGCCGAAGAAGGGCAAAAAGGGTGAGCCGTGATGGTCGACCGTGCACTCGTCGGAGAAAGAACGGGGACGAACGTCAAATTAACATATGTGCGATCTCGGCCGGTTCCCGAGAGCCCGTTTGTCGTACGCCGCTCTCTCGTCCTTTCTCTCTCTCGCTCTCTTACCGAGAGAGTGGCAAATGTCGTCTGCTACAACCTAACCTCAATCGCGATCCGAACTCGTGTCACGTTCAGGACACACATCACCAGTGACACCGAGTCCGCGTATGGTGGCCAAGCGTTGCTCGTTACGTTTCGTCGACGGACGTCGTGTTTCTCGAAATGAGGAAGCGAATTATCGACATTCGCGAGAATACATTTCACGAGTTCAGTTTCGTAAGGTTACCGGATATTAGGTAATGTCGTAAGACCGGAACACGCGCGACTGTCTCAGACTGTTCTTCCTTAAGCGCTCGAATCTACTACATAATAAGCGGGCGACTTTGTCACCAGCTCGGACAAGCAGAAAGTGAAAGTTGCCTGTTCTCTTGATATATACCGTGGTGAAAGTTAATGACCCTGATCATTGTATCGTGATTAATATCGCGATTTGTGAAACACGTTTGATCCGTGCTTATAGCTGTTGCTGCTATGTTTTGTTATAAGTAGTGCCCTATACATGTTATATAATAAATCTGACTCTTTGATTTTTTCAGTAACACTGGAATGTCTATATAAAACCGACGTTATTGTTTTTGGTGTTGACAGCCAGGAGAAAGCAAAATGACAGTGATGATGATATCGAGAAAGTTCTGGCGGAGTTGGCCTTGGAGTATTCCGGAGAGAAACCAGTTAAGGACAAAGCTGAAAGCAAACCTGAGCCCAGTGAGCAAAAGATTGATGACGAAGACAAGAAGAAAAAAGGAAAGAAGGATAAGAAAAAGGAAAAGGCTGAAAGGAACGATGTGAAAGCAGAGGAAGCTGACAGTAGTGCAGCAGCCCTGGAAACAAATAATGGACAAGACATGGACGTGGAAGTTGGCACTGTGAAAACAGCGGCGCAAAAAAAGAAGGAGAAGAAGGAGAGGGAGAAGCAGAAGAAACTGGCGCAGAAAAAAGCGGTAAATGAGAAATGGAATTTGTCCGTTGTACAGATCCGTTTTACGTAGGGACTTTTCATTCTAGTATTAATAGTTAAAAATTGCAACAGGAAGTTACCAAGGAAGGCACGAAAAAGGTAGAGGATGACGAAGTAATAAAAGCTGATGATAAGAAGAATGATAAACCTGTACCTGAAAAGAAGCAAGATAGCTTGGAGGTCGACGTTGATGTTGAGCCTGAAGATGGCAAGAAGAAAAAGAAGAAAGGCGCTAAGGAAGAAGGAGTAGGCGCTAAAGAGAAAGGTAATTTTGCCTGTCATCTGACGTTTGCTTGACTGACTGTTTCTCTAATATATCATATTTTTGCAACAGGCAAAGGTCCTGGGAAGAAAACCATTGCCGCTATGCAGGAAGCTTTGAGGAAGTTGAAGGAAGAGGAAGAGAGATTGAAACGCGAAGAGGAAGAAAGGATGCGACAGGAAGAATTACGGGAACAGGCGCGACTCGAACAGTTGCGTCTCGAACAGGAACGCAAGGAGAGGAAGAAGTTGAAGGAGAAGCAACGGAAGGAGAGGCTGAAGGCGGAGGGGAAATTCCTAACGACGAAGCAGAAACAAGACAGAGTCAGGGCGCAAGCTATGATCGAGGCGCTCAAAGCACAGGGTCTTGACTTGCCGGATGTTGGAGAGAAGAAACCCAGGCCAGGTATCGCAAGATACGAAAAAGACGATCGTGAAAATACCGGTGTAAAGCCATTGTATTGACCGTTCGAATTTGTTTCAGGAACGCGAATCAGGCCGAATAAGTTGAAGCAGCAAGTCAGTGTAGAGAAGAAGGAAGACGAGAAGCTTGAGAATAATGAAGCACCTGCGGATCAAGTGCAGATGGAAATTGTGGATCAGCCAACGGAGGTGAAGGAGAAAAAGGAGGACGACGATGTTAAGGACTCATGGGATGCCGACAGCACTGAGGACGAGCAGGAAGAAGGTACTGTCTCATATATGGTTACAAGAGATATGTGTACAAATATCTCTTATTTTTTTATATTTCTTTTCGTATTACTTTTGTGTTCCGAATTCATTTCTGGAATTATGCCCACATGTTAACACATTGCGGACCAGACATTTTATTGCTAACCGTATCCAGTAGCCAGGTATGTTTTCGCCTCTAACGACGCAATATGAAATACGAGATATCTCGTCATCCGGCCGCAATGTGTTAACACCCTGCATATCGGATATCGAAGTAACCGAGTTTCAATCGACCGATTCTAGATAAATCGGACGATGCTACCAAGACCCCTGAGAAGACGAAAGAACAGCCGGTTGAGGGAACTCCCGTCAAGGCCGAGTCGGAGAAGAAGGAGTCCTCGGAGAGTGAGATGGAGAGCGAGAGCGGTAGTGAGTCCGAGTTAGAGGGCGACGAGAGCGACGAGGACAGCGAGGTGGAGGATAAGCTGCCGGATGCCGCGCGCAAGAAGGAACGCGTCCGAGAGCGGATCCAGAATCGTCGCATCGAGGCCGAGAAGAAGAAGTCGCTGGATAATCTGAGGGCGGCCGTCGTCTGTGTTTTGGGCCACGTGGATACCGGCAAGACGAAGATTCTGGACAAACTGAGGAGTACGAAGGTGCAAGATGGTGAAGCCGGTGGCATAACTCAGCAGATCGGTGCGACTAATGTGCCAATTGCGGATATTCAAAAGTCGACGAAACACGTGAGAGGCGTAAGTGCACACACGGCGCGCTCACGAGCGCGTTGAAGACGCGATACGCGACGTCACATCTGTGTTTTTCCCTTTGCTTTCAGTTCGCCGATAAGAAATTAAAAATCCCGGGTCTCCTGATCATAGACACGCCCGGTCACGAGTCGTTCAGCAATCTCAGAAGCAGAGGGTCCTCTCTTTGTGATATAGCGATCTTAGTTGTAGATATTACTCACGGGCTAGAACTACAAACGTTAGAGAGTATCAATCTGTTGAAAGCGAAGAAATGTCCCTTCGTGGTCGCCCTCAATAAAATCGACAGGTAAGTTCACATCCTGCACGAGGGAGGGAGGGGGGGGGGGTATTCGCCGCACAGTTTTGAGCAACTCGCGACGGACTTTTGCGTCGGGTGAATCACGGCGATTCGATTTTCTCCAGGTTATACGATTGGCAGGCTGCCGAAGAACTGAATCCTATGGACGTGCAGGATATAGTGAAGAATCAAGCACCTAATACTCAGCGGGAATTCGAAAAGCGGTCGAAAGAGATCATTGTACAGTTCGCCGAACAGGGTCTGAACGCGGCGTTGTTTTACGAGAATCCAGATCCCAGGAGTTACGTGTCATTAGTCCCAACCAGTGCCATAACAGGTATTATTATGATGATTTAAAAAATGTTATAATAAATAAGTACATGTTTTTAACATTTCAAAATTTCTCAATTTAAATTTCTTAATTTTTACAAGACGCGTGCATTTTTATACTTATATTTTTTAAATATTACGGTTTATTTTCCAATTTTCACGGGTCACATTTACACGTCGTGTTGTGATATGCAGGCGAAGGTATGGGCAACCTGTTGGCCTTAATAGTCGACGCTTGTCAAGGCCCTCTGGCCAGGAGACTGATGTACAGCGAGGAGCTGCAAGCTACCGTATTGGAAGTCAAAGCATTGCCGGGACTTGGTACCACGATAGACTGTATTCTAGTCAATGGAATGCTAAGGGAGGGCGATACGGTCATTATCGCTGGCACGGACGGACCTATTGTAACGCAAATTCGCTCGCTTCTTATGCCGAAGCCGTTGAAGGAATTCAGAGTTAAGGTAATCCTTTCAGAATTACAAGTTCTGTTCGCTGGATATATATATATATATATATATCGATACGTATTTGTTGTTATACGTGTGAAACGATATGTTGTTATTATTCCTCGTGGTGTATATAATTGCGTTTCTTGAAATATGTGTTATCACTCGCGCGTGTATCGCTTCAGAACGAGTTCAAGGAACATCGCGAAGTCAAGGCTGCTCAAGGAGTGAAAATTGCCGCGAAGGATCTGGAGAAGGCCATCGCCGGTAATATACCTTATATACGTCGATGAGACCGATTTGTCAGTTTATGAATAGTGACGTATCCCAAAATAAAACACGGTCGATTGTTTTGCGTGCGCGTGCCGAAGATAAATCCAGTTAATGTGTGTGTGCAGGCTTAAATATGCAAGTCGCGCAGAAACCAGATGAGGTGGAAGCGTTGAAGGAAGAGATAGCCAAGGAGCTGTCGAGCGCCCTTGGAAACATACGGCTAGCTGAACGAGGAGTTTACGTCCAGGCTTCTACTTTGGGCGCCCTTGAAGCGCTACTGGATTTCCTGAAGAGCAGCAAGATACCGGTGAGTACATATATATACTATTTTTCTCCAACTGCATGCGACATTATCCGTGCAATCGCGCGAGAAATTGCTGATATGGAAATAAGATAAAGACGGCAGATCAGGGTTAGGTGCAAAATTATATAAGAGAATAAGCAAGAGAGAAGGAGAGAGAGAGAGAGAGAGATAGTGATGTTTATTGGCATCCTGGGATTAAGTGCAAGTACAGTATGCGAAAAAAATGTGCAGAAAGAAAAAAAGCTATACTCTTGCTAATACAAAAAGAGTAGAAAAAATAGAAAAGAAATATACAAATAAATATACACGCGTACATATCGAAATAAAAATAAGCAATAGTAATAATTTACTCGGTGTTTTCTTCTTAATTTCATTTGCTTCGCTTTTCTTTGTACGTCGCGCTTTCTGTAATCGTTCGCTCTACACCGCCGCTACGTGCAAAGCTGACAGAATCGCGACACATTACCTTGATATTTTCATTGTTTAATTAGTAATTGAGACGCGTACATATAACTTATCTGTCTGCGTAAACGCACAAATATCATAATTCTTCATCTCTCCTATCTCTCCGCATATTTTCTACAATCAATGTATTTAACGGATAAGAGAAAGAACGCAAAGCTCAGCTGCAATTGTGCATAATATGTATGAGCGCAGAGAATGTCGAATCTGGAAAAAGAGGCAAAGCACGCGGATACATAAATAAGCGAAACGAGTGTGTGCATCGACACAATCACATAGATAGATTAGGCAGAGATAGATAGATAGATAGAGAGAGAGAGAGAGAGAGAGAGAGAGAGAGAGAGAGAGAGAGACGGACGGACAGGCAGACAGATAGATCGGTAGCTAGATAGATAGACAGATGGAGAGAGAACAGCAGCAACAGCAGCAGCAACGAACCACTTCCTTCTTAACAGTTTAGCAGGATACGGCTCATTGGTCGCACACGGTGCTTGTACTCGTGATCCATCGTGCTATCAGCCGCGCTGTTCAACCGTGGGCACGCCTCGCAGCCTTCTATAGGGTGTCCCACGCGCGCCACGACGAAGCGTATCGACGACAAATTCGTCGCCATTTTCGAAATTGCGCCGATCAATTTTTTTTTTTCTCGTACCAAATAAAACGTGACTGCGGTTGCTACTTGCGTTGTACGATGGCGTGTCCATTTATCGTCCATCAATTGCACGAGCGCGAGCTCTAATTGAGACGCGGAGTCTCGACGAGATAATCTCGATTCCCATCGAGAGAGAGAGAGAGCGGAGAAGAATAGAGAATTTTTCGTTAGAAACGATCCGCTGAGCTGCTTTCATGTTACTTTAGCAAGATAATTGTATTAAAAAGTAATATGACAACAAGGTGAATGTGTTAATTTACAACTTGCCATTGTGTGCTTTTTAACATATTCCGTGTTGAAGTAACACAACAATTTCAATGGACCGTTTTAACACGAAAATTTTCACTATATATAGAGTAGAGCATATATTCATTCTGAGGTCAAGACCCTTTAAAACAAACTTATAAAACAAATAGCATAATACGTAGTTATTTGAACGTATAACGCAATTACGCAACCAGAATAACCAGAAATTCAGTATTCTTCAACCAAATGCATCTGATTGTTCTTTTTCTGGTTAATACAATCAGGCTTTATCTTTTCCGTGCAGTGATAATAACCCTACATACGTACATTGCTACCACTATAAAATATATTTGGCATCGAGACTAACTATAATTTTCTATCAACGTACGTACTAAAAACTAAACGCATGCGGTAGAAAGAAGCGAGTGATAAGAGAGAGAGAGAGAGAGAGAGAGAGAGAGAGAGGCGGATCATCCTCGAACTATTCGCAAGAACAAAATATCGCGTATTTGCACGTGCTGTACGCGCGCACACACATGTGTAAACACGTCGCTCGTTCACTGGCGATATTATTATTTATAGAGAAAAACTACGCGTGTTCACGTCGCGCGAATGATTCGCGGTAATCGCGTCTACGTATGCCTTCGCGCTATCGGACAGACACAAGCGTGCACGATCGTATATATTTACATAAGAGAGCGTCGAGAGATAGAGAGAGAGGTATGGCAAAAATATCCCGTTATCTCGAGGGGAGGGAGGGGGAACTCCGAGATATCATTCACAACAAGCTCCACAACGCTGGCTACGCTACAATGACCGTAGTAGTAGAGGGATTCCGCGCCGATTCCGCGTCGCGCCGCATTTCCCCATTCTATCTTACGGTCGAGCGGTGCGGGTGCACACACTCGCCGGCCAAAGAGAGGTCGGGAGAAATCGAANTAGAGAGGAAGAGAGAGAGAGAGAGAGAGGGGGGGGGGTAATGTGTCCGTTCGAAAGTATTTTTTGCCGGTGCCTCCGGTACAGCCGGGCTAGCACACGGCAAAAACTTCCTGTCATCTTCTGAGACTCGAAGTATAGGTAACGCACCGTCCGAAACGGCCTTAAGCCTGTCCTTGCTCGGGTTATGAATGGGCTCCCCCCACCGTGATCGCGCGATCACGTGGCCCAGTGACGTCAGGTTTATCGCACGCACACGCGAAAGAGACACGCACGCACGGTCGCTTGGCCTCTCCTCTCGGTCTTCCCTCTTTCCTCGCCACTTCCTCACGTGCACACACAGAGACACGTTTCCACGGCAAGAAAGGGACGAACGGGGGAAGGAGGGTCGAGGGGTTGGCGGAGGGGAGGAAAGGAGAGGGCTGAGTATCGCGTTGTGACCGGTTGTGAGGGAGGTGGACGAGGAGGGAAGACGGGGCTGAGGGGAAGAGAGGGTTTGCGGACTAAACTCACGCAACACACGCGCTGCCGATGTGTACACGTCCGACGTGTGGACGTACTTGTGTATGTGGTGCGTGTCTCCTCTCTCTCGGAACGCCTCGCATTCGCCAACATGGAGACCCGCGCGCGCGCGGACGTGTGTAGGCTGGAAAAAAGGAATACGTGATCAACGTACAGGAAACTGCCCACACTCGGCGCGCGGGCACCGTGGGTGGATGGATCGACGGACGTACGTATGTATGTATGTATGTATGTATGTATGTATAAACAGACGGTCGATTCAGGAATCGCTGCAACTTCAGGACAGTCGCCGGGAAAGATGGCGGATGCGCAAAGGCGCCCTGCAAAAACGAGCCGAGAAAGAGAGGAAGAAAGCGAGTCTCCGAGGCACTCGAAGACGACACGAGGTACATCTCGACTCGTTGCCGGGAAACACGAACGACGAGGTTTGTCTGAAGCTGGGTGATACGCTGAGCGAACGAACGGAGTACGAACGACGAATGCGAACCCTCGTTTATTGCATTTTGTAAAATGTGCACAGAGGACGGTTGCAACGGATTTCTTCCTTACATACTTCGGAACACATAAGAAATACGACGGAACGAACTTGTGATTCACAAGTATGAAGGCAATAGATGGTCAGACAGCTGTCAAAATTAGATATGTATATGTATCAAAGTTACATGTGATATGTAATTTTGACAATTTCGGCTTCATCGTATTTTTTGTGTGTTCCGAAACATGTGGAGAAAAGGAAACTGTTGCAACCGTCCTATGACCGACTGTACGCCACAATGGAATCCGTACTATCTTATTATTATTATAATTTCTTGTATACTAAAGAGCCCCGTTCGTCCCGTAAATAATTGCCAACATTCGCCATATCACACGGAGCTGGCTTCGCACATTCGCTGTTCGTTCGCACAGTGTATACCCACCTTCACGCTCACGGCGACGAGCGTTGCTTGCGAATCGATCGGATCGGCCTCGCGGCTCTCGCTCGAAGCGTTTCCGCTTCGAATCACTCGTGCCGGTTCGTTCACGTGGCTTGTTCCCTCGAATCTCTCATTCACTCACGGAGATCGTTTTACGATCGAGTCTCTTCCATGTTTCGAGTACAACATTGCAACAATATAATGAATGAAACGAGAGGCAGGGGTCAGCGATTGTACGCAGACGAAATCAGAAAACAACAGCCTCTCTCTCTCTCTCTCTTTTGCAGCGTAGTTTCACATTCGCAGCCGCGGATAACAGGAAGTCGTAACTTTTCATTTCAATGGCCGGAGAGGAGGATCGTCGCGTGGTGTCTTTAGGTCAAGAATGTTCCGTGACTGTGGAAGAAGTCCGAGAAGCGCTGCCTCCGAGCGCGCGGGGACGAGGAGGGCTGTGTTATTACGAGCACACCGAGTATCGTATTCGCGTAATTGAACAACGACGAGGGCGGGGCGGCGAGCGATCCGCGATCGATCGCACACAATGGCGGCTGGCTCGCTGAATTAACGATTCTTATCGGGCGTCTTCCTGTCCTCCTCGTCCCGTTTAGGCGAACGGGATCGGAATATATAGCTTAATCGGGACGCGCGCTACGCTCTTCTCGGAACCTGCAGCGCGCGAGCGCGCGTTGATTGACGATTACCTGCTTATATAGCGCTCGTCGCGAGCCAGTCAGCCAGGCAAGCAGGTAGGCTGGCAGGTAGATAGATAGACTCGGGTAATAGCTCGAAAACAATCCGCGCCGGCGGTTCGAGCCGCCGAGTGTGGAAAAGGCGACGCACGGTGGTGCGGGTTCCACTTCCGGTCTAGCTGTGGGTTTTCGGGCCATGGCACCGTCCAGGTATTCTTGTGGCCCGAATGCGCGGTGTGCGATGTGGTAGCCTTGATTTGGAAAACGCGACCGATAGAAGGAGACCGTTCAAGTTGTCGGTTGCGTAGCAATGTAAGCCCCCGTTTCCAATCGGGTGTCTGAATTCGCGATATAAGCGTTCCCAAAGAGCTTTCCTCAAAATTGATAATGTCTCTCAATTCAAGCCTTGTTAACCCTTCGACTCCGATGCTGATTTCTCGGTTACCAAGTGGAGCGAACGGCTGGCCCCGAAAAATTTTTACGTTAAAAATTATATTAAAATATAATAAATAAACATATCAATGCATGAATGCATAACGTCGTTTATTCTTAATTACAAGAATCAATCCAAGAAAAATTCAT